GCTGCCCTGCACCGGCCGCCTGGCTGTCCTCCCGCCTCCGCCAGGCCGCTCCCCGGACCTTCGGTTGTTCGGGGTGGAGGGCCTTCGTCAGCCGGTGGGAGGACTGAAAGGAGAGGGCTGAGGGCTGCTGCGTGGGAGTGAGGGAGCCCTGGCCCACGTAGCGTGTTTACTGCGTGATGGTGATGGAAGCCAGTATCGTAACACCACCTGTGTTGTCCCGTTGGCAACTTGGCTGGCACTGCCTCCCGCTTCTGGCCCCGCAGGGAACCGTGTCCCCAGCTGCGTTGCTGCTGGCCTTGCGGGGCACCTCACCTCCCCCATGTCGGACCAGCACCTCGTGTCGCGATTGGGAGCCAGAGGCGAGTGTAAACTTGGAGTCTCTGCTCCCTTCCAGTGCAGGGAGTGTGTCATCATCCAGCCTGGCGGCTGGGTGTGGGCGTTGCTTCTAGGGATGACTCTAAACTAAGCTGGGTTTGGGTCACTCTGAAATTCAGATTTGACAGCAGTTCCTTTCCTAAAATAGGAAGAAAATTCATTTTGTGCATTTGAAACTTTTCTTTCAGCCCTTAGCTGGAGTAGCTGCATCTCCACAGTTGTACATAACTGGCTATGGATTCTGGTCTTTAGGACAGGAATCTTAGTTGTTTTGCCACTCATGTAAGAGCAAAAAAGCCTCTTCCGCTTAAGAGGGGGATTAAACACTGAAAGCCTGAAGCCTATAGAAAGCAGACACTAAGATGCCTAAGGGTGCCTTTGGGATCTGCAGAACTTTAAAAAAATAAAGAAAATAAAGTACTGTACTCCCATATTAAAGCCAATAAAAGGCATTTCCTGCTCTTTAAGTGCTTCTTGTAAATGCCCTACAGCCTTCTCTGCATCCTTAAGTACATACATATCTTCTGAAAGATAAAATCTTTTTTGTTTGGTTTTATGTGGCTATATTTAAATCATACAATATTCAGTGTCAATGTGACCACTGCTGCTTATGTGTGTTTAGCCAGTCTTTTCCAGGTAACTCCCCCTTTCACAGTCCACAAGGGGTTTGTGCTAACATTGGAGTTATAGCTCCCTGGAAATGTTCTGTGACAAGAACATGGATGTGATAAAGTGGGGAGGGAGGAAGAGAAAATCAGTAGCCCAGGTGTTTTAGAGAATACTAAAATCATATGAAATATGAACGCTTAATACCAGGTAATGTGAGACCTTGAAATCTAGGTAAAATGTGCAGAGTGCAGTAGGAGTGCAGCATTGTTTCTTAATCATTGTATCATATTTGCCTGACAGATAGATTGCTGCTCAATTTCTACATCTCTGTCTCTTCTGATGACAATTTTCATTCATAGCAAGGTGAACACTGTCTACTGTGGGGAAAGGGGATATAGAATGGCTTTTGGGCCATCCTCATTATTGTGTCCTACATATTCTCCATGTTACGAAGTTCCTTTGGTCATTCTTTCAAAGCTTTCCCGTACTGAGCTTGATACTCTGATGTGAACTCTTAAAAGTAGTTATCTGTCCTGAAGGTATCTAGACCGTAATGTCCAAAAAAGCCGTAGGCTGTCTCTGCATTTTGTGAACCACCCATAGGTGTAAGACATTTTAACAGAAGAAACCTAGGTGAGTTTTGAACTGCCTTTTGTTTGGTTGGAGCAAATTTTGCTTTCCACCAAGACTTGCTTACCTTGATGATATTACAGAGCCAGGGCTTTGATTGTTGAGATTTCCATAGCAAATAATCAGTGTTTATCACTTGACTAATGTTATAATACAATTTTGAACTTTTTAATTTCTAGGTGGGAACCACTAAATTGAACAGCAATAACGATGGGAGATGCTGCAAAACCTTGCTTTGCCAAACAAACTAAGGAACAGGGAATTTTACGTCAAGAAGAATTAAAAGGAAGTCCCTTACAGAAAGACTACCGAGTCATGGATGAATATGGAAATGGCCATAGCAATAAAATAGATACCAGCCTGCAAAAGAAAAAGGGAACGCCAGGTCATTACGGAAGCAGTCCCAGGCGAGGGCCACGTAGTGTTTTGAGTAGCCCAAATTCGTTTAAAAACACAACTTACAGTCAAGGGTCGAAGTTAAATGATACCCAAAGAGACCAAATGAAGAAGTGGGTATCTGATGACTACCGTGGTACTTCTGACAGCTGGAGAGAGTACAGATCTGTTGCCTGGATCCCTGTGCATAGCAGGACAAGAAAGGACTCTCTTCGTGAGGTTGAAGGTGCTGGAAACAGAAGTGTAAGACGACAGCTTCAGGAAGACTTAATGAGCGAAGACATGCCAGACATGCAAAAAGGAAACTATGGTAATCAATGTGTTTGTTTTTACATAGCTATCCAGTAAAGTAGCTTTCTGTGAGTGTTACTGAAAAGAAAAATTTCCAGTTAAAGCAAAAAATCAGTTTTGTTCTGTCATATATTGCAAACTATTGACTGTACTGCAGCACTTTAAACAAATTGTTACATCTCATGATACAGAACTTTTTTTATGAATTGTGTTGTCTTTGTAAGTTAGTTTACATGTGGTAGGAGTAAGTAGATTGCAACATCTGTGTAGGGTCCGTGATTGTAGTTTTCCAGGTACAATTTGATTGAACCCATCAAGGCTGATGAAGGATGTTTCTATTAAGTTGATACAGGGTAAGATTTTGGAGCAACTGCTGAGGTCTGTAACAACATATTTGAATTAAGATTGAAAACAACGTCTCGTAGGTGGCGTGAGAACTTAATACTAGCAACAGTAATACAGCAATAACACAAAACTAATTCTCTATGCATATTGAACTTCTCTATGGGCAATTGGTACTAATAAGAGTACAAGCCCTAAGTATTGAAATGCAAGGAAGAACAGGCTAAGGGAGAATAAAGTGATCAACATCACGAGATCTTTATTGGAATGTGAGTACCAGAAGGAAGTGTAAGTAGATCAAAGCAGAAGGAGGAAGCTTTAAAGAACATAATTATATAAAATAAGAAAGACTAAGGCACAGTTGAGGTGCTGCTAACATAGAGCAGCTGCCTGTTAACATGAAATCTGTCTTGTTTTAGTTAAGGTGGGGGGGCCAAAGACAGTATTGATCTGCACCCCTAATGAGAAAGAAAGCTATTACTGGTTGATACCAGGAAGTCCAGGAATGAAATGTCCTTTCCCTTGATATCAGCTGTCACTAAAAAGATAAACTGTGAGCAGGTGCCCAGTGCGTCTCATTGTTAGAAATAAGTTGCGCACTTGAGCTCAACCTCAGATGAGGAGAGAGCAGAGTAGAATGCTTTCACAAGTTTGTTCTCAAATTTGCTGGCTCTAATGAACTTTTCTTCTGTGAAACTTCAGGACCTCACTGAAGTAGATTGTTGGAACCACTGGCAATCATACCCGAGAACTTATTCAGGAGAAGTGAGCTACTGGCATATAGGAAAGGGCAAGCATCTCTTAAAACTGGAATTAAAAAAATGGTATGCAACTTTAATCTTGGGAATCCATTCTGGAACAAATAATGTAACCTACTATAAGTATATGAAAGGTTACAAAGAGATGAGTAGCAGTAAACGTGGATTTGTCAAGAAAAAAGTATGCCAAGTCCTTCTAATTTATTTCTTTAAAGTAGTGATCGGTACCTTGTGGACATGGGAGAACCCTAATTCTAGGGTCCTAGCAGGGGGACTGCTAGTACTAGTATCGTAGTACTTTAGATGCTCTTATGTGACAGTCTTGTAAGTAAACTAGAGGAAAATTCTCTAGATTAGATTAATACAAGAGACTTACAGAGCTAATTAGATAAATGTACTCAGAAAATACTTACCAAAGTTTTTGTCAAAATGATAGGAAGCATTGAGCAAGCGTCTGCGAGGATTCTGTTCTGTTCAATGTTTATTACACTATTCTGATGATGAATGAAGACAGCTTACTTACTGTGTGCTTTTAAATTTGAATATGCTGTGGAGCTGGTAGGAACTGAATGCAGAAAAGCAGGAAGGTCAATTAAAATAACTTTGCATAATTGCAGAAATGACCTGCATATAGGATGAAATACAAAAGATGTGCAAATGCCTTTGTTTAAGTAAGAATGTCAACTGTACAAATAAGGGAGGAAAAGTTGTTATAAAGTGGTGTTTTTTCAGAGAAGAATCTGAAATCATAGTCAATCAGAAGATGATCATGAGTAGTCAGTGTCATAGTGTTGTGAGGCATGTTGTGGTTACATGTTGCAGCCTGAAGTACTCCTTTTTCTTCAAGTCTTTGGTAAACTCAGTTACAGCATTCTGTCCAGCATTGGCACCTCACTTGAAAAGAATGAAAACAGTCCAAAGAGCAGCAAGAAGAATGCCAGAGCACATAGAAAACAGAAACTATGCAAACTGTAAACAATCCCCAATCTTTCTGCAAAAGAAAAGGGTAGAGAGGCATGATAAGTCTTCAGCTGTCTAGAAAGGTGTTAAAAAACTGATGTAGTAATCTGGCTTGCATCTTTCCAATAGATGGGACACAAAGCAATGGCCCTAAAACTGAGCAAGGAAGGCTCAGATGAGGAATAAAGTGAAAGTTTCTAATGGTAAAACTAGTGAAGTGCTGGAAAGGTGGTCTGGACGGCTCATGGAGTATGTAACTGAAGGCCTTTTAAGAACAGGTTAGGTGAGCATTGCTCAGGATTGAGAAAATTTGTTTCGTGCTGCTGCGAAGCACAGGCATGGCATAGCTCACCTCTTGAGGTCCCTTCAAAAGCTCTAATTCTATGTCAGGTAGAAAACAGTTACTAGATATGTTTCTTTTAGCATATCCTTTCACTTTAAATATTTTATGCAATTGTCCCTTTCCTTTACCTTTATGCCTTTTTACTGTAGCTCATAAGAAAGTTTACCAAATCTCTAAGGCATTGATTTTTCTGCAGGAGCTTTAACTTTAACTTGCCTTTAGTACTTTATTTAGTCATTAACCTATAATTAGATTGTCACTACTATAACTATCAAATATAAAGTATTTATTTACTTTGTAATTTTTTTAAATTACTTAGTGGTTACAGAAATAATTGATAAGTAGTTGTCACACACTTTCATGTGAAGACATTTATTTAATACATGTTTTTCTCCAAGTTTGGTCTACACTTATCAGTAAAAATTTAGTCAAACAACTGTGTGGCAGGTCTTAGGAGTTTGAGGAGGAGAGTCAGCATGGAAAATGGAAGGGATGTGTAAAGTTTAGAGACTCAGATTTCTGTTCCTGCTCTTTGGAGCTTCCTTTGGAATACTGTCCCTGCAACCTATTAAGCCTTAGTTCTGTTTATTCCAGCATAAACATATGCTGCTGCTGAAAGAAACTGTATTACCATTCTTGTCCTGGTCCTGTTTACAACACTAGCACATGCATGCTGCTTAGAGAATCGAATCAAACAACTGGTTGAAAATACAGAACCAGGTTGTTTCCCTTTTGCCAATTATTAGAGACAAAAATTGTAGTTGCAGGAAAGAAACTTTGTAAATTTATTTGGTAGAGCAGTTGTGTTTTATCTATTTTTTTAATTATTACAAATTAAAACCTTATGCTATGATAAGGGTTTTGGAGTTTAAGGAAATCACATAAACTTTCTCAGAAGTAGGGAACTTTAAAAATTCCATGCATCTGGACATCCTGTATAGCTGTTCAAGTGAAAGGTAAGATGTCATCTAAAGTCATGTGTGAAAATCCAGCCTGTGTATATTCATTCCTGAGATGATTTTTACAGGTATCCTTTGGACCAGTAGCAATTCCTGCTTCAAAATGATGACTAAGTTTGCTTAAAAGTAGAAATGGTATTTACATTAATTTGTTCCAGAACTTTTGCTGTAAACATAACAAGCTTTCTAAGGATGTTTATTCTGCTGGTTTTATACTTTTACCAAGCAATCTGTGCAAATACTTACCAAGTTCATTATTTATTGACTTACGTAGCCAATAGGGGTGTTTGGTTTGGTTTTTTTTACTTGTCTCTTTAATAATGTGAAGGCAATACTGATCCATATCCTGGTTTAATTGAAAAGCAGGTGATGTTAATGGGCAGTTATTACTGGTAATAATAAATTGTTGCGTGTCAGCTAAGCCATGGCAGTGTGTCACGGTTTAGCTGGCAGCTAAAACAACCACACAGCTGTTGCCTGCCTGCCTCCCTCCCTCCTTTCCCCCAGTGGGATAGTGAAGAGAATTGAAAGGGAAAAAAAAAAAAGGATAAAACTCATGGGTTGAAATAAAGCCAGTTTAATAGGACGGGAAAGGAAGATAACAATAATAATGTTATACCATAATAATGGTAAAAGAATATATAAAACAAGTGATGCACAGTACAATTTCTTGCGACCTGAATCTGATGCTCAACTAGTTTCTGAGCTGCCCTACCTCCCAGCCAGCCCCCCCCCCCAATAATATACAGAACATGGCATCATATGGTATGGAATATCCCTTTGGCCAGTGTGGGTCAGCTGCCCTGGCTGTGCCCCCTCCCGGCTTCTTGGGCACCCCCTGCTTTCTTGTTGGCAGGGCAGTGTGAGAAGCTGCAAAGTCCTTGACTGCTTGGCAACAGCTAAAAACATCAGTGTGTTATCAACATTGTTCTCATCCTAAGTCCAAAACACAGCACTACACCAGCTGCTAGGAAGAAAATTAACTATCCCTGCCAAAACCAGGATACAGTGCTATATCATATATCACATCACAGAGTGGTTTGGGTTGGAATGGACCTCAAAGATCATCTAGTTCCAACCCCCATTATAGTGCTGTGTTATTCTTAGTGATCTGTGGGTCAGTTCACTTTCTAGCTTGTTTGTCTACCTAAGCCTGACCAGATGTCCTGAAATCTTTGGATATATTCTACCTTTTCATTGCAATGACATACAGGTATGTCTCAACTAGGCAGCTAAATCTATTGCATTTAGTTTTAATTTTTTTGTCAGTTTTAGCAAAGCTATCTAAATAAGGTCAGTAACTTCAGTGGGGCAAATTAGTGGTTTTTAGTAGTTCGGAACAGAAGTACTATAAGTTATGACATAAATGTACACTCTTCCTATTATCAGACTTGCACAGAACAGGTTATGAAATCATGCGAGGTAGATGATTTGTATCTTCTTTGACTTGCACATAAGTTGAATGGTAATTTAGGGAAAAAAAGAAACAAAATGCCGTGTGGTACTCTGAAGTTATTTGACATATTTGCTCTCATAACTCTTTATAAGAAATAAAGAAGCTTAGGAAACCCAGAAGATCGAGAAGAACTAGAAAAGATGAGTATGATCAAGATGAAGTGGATGGTCCAGTCATAGATGAATCTGTGCTGTCGGCAAAAGAACTTCTAGGGTTGCAGCAAGCTGAAGAGCGACTGAAGCAAGACTGCATTTATAGACTAAAGAAGGTGCCACTGTCTTTACTTGTATAGTCCTCTCCTAATCTTTTGTCTGTAAATACAATATAGAGGGTGCTCTTTGAGCAATTTCTCCGACTGTAGCTAGAAAGTCTAGTTGTAGAATGGATGTAATGTACAAAAAGGGTGCTGTTAATGAATTCTCAAGAGAAGGCAGGTTATCCTTTGTTTTTTTACTATAATAAATCTTGGTTTGGTAGCAATTTAAGCACAAAGAATGGCTACTCCTTTAGTTCATGAATTAACATGATGCTGGGGCAGTGGACCAGAAAAGTTTTATTGTATGTTTCTTCAGTTAATATATTCTTCCATGGGCATTGGGTATTTTCTGCTGTAAATGACAAGGTGTTGGGCTTGATTGACCTAGTATCACCATTCTTGTGGCAATATATTTGATATCCAAGCTTTTGGTAAAGATGGAGTTAGGAAAGCTAAATTGAGTGTTTCTGGATTTTAGAGTTACAGTCATTCAACTTAGAAAGAGTATTGAATGAAATGAAGGTAATATCTTTCTATATTTTAGGGTTTTTTACTATCTTTATTTTAGCAACCTCGAAGCTGCCCGTCAGCAAAATACACCTGCACATTGTGTGATGTTTTGATTGAGTCGGTGGCTTTTGCTCATAAGCATATTAAAGAGAAAAGACACAAGAAAAGCCTAAAGGTGAGTTAAGGACAAGAAAAAGTATAAAATGCAGATATATGAAACTGTCCTCACCCTACTATGAAACTGCACTGCTTCTAAAATCATTCTGCTTTTTTTTTTTTTTAACCATGTTTAAATCTTCTTAAAAACTATTACTTAGTGATACTGGCAAAAAGACTAAACTTGGGACCTGGACTTTGCTTCTGCCCTCAGCTTTGGAGTTTAATTTGTACTTTTTCATGCCTATTATTAAAACAAGTCCTCATTCACAGTATAATTCAGTAATATTTTGTTACTGGTGATTGAAATATAATAAAAAAGCTGTACCAACTGACTCTGCTGGTTTGCTGTTCTATAATTCTTCTTGTAGACTAGTTATGTGTATTCTTCTTAGTATACATTTCACAGTGTATGTATATAATATGTACAGTGGCATATTTCAACAATGAAGAGTTTTGATCAAGTCCAAAGCAATGAGGAGTAGCAGTAAGGAAATATAGTTGGTATGGCAGAATTAGAAATTGTAACTGATAGATCAGGGTGAAGATTTCAATTCAATAGTACTGTAAAAATTAAGAACTTGTGGAGTATTACAGACTTGTTTATATGTAAAGGAAATAGGTTGGTTTTGAACATAAACATTAAAATAACTTCCAGCATAATCTCAATTTTACTTTCTATTTTTTTAATTAAATATCTTCTGTTCCTTCTACTTTCTCAGCTTGAAGTGGACAAAAAATGTCTGCTGCAGGTTTCCTATTTTTACTCTTTAATTCCTATCCTTTCCCACCTTATAGGTGATGGAAGAATTGGTGACATGTTTTTTAATGTTCCAAATACATGTGTATATTACCTCTGCACATTACTGAAGCCTCCTAGAATATCTAATTCTCTATACGTGTCACAGTTTCTCTCTTGATGTTCTTGCTTCCAGTCACCTCCATTATCTGGATACCTGTGGTGGTGTTACTTGGGATGAGTTGCAGGCATTCATTCTAGCATGTTAAGCAACTCAAGAAAATCATTAAAACATCAGTCTTATTATCTTTAAAGGAGAAGCAAGAAGAACAGATGCTGACTGCTCTGCCTCCTCCAACGCCTTCCCAGATACAAGCTATTGGTGTTGCTATTGAAAATGTAGTGCAGGAGTTTGGCTTAAATAATGAAGATGTAGAAGAAAGGCTCAACATTAAAACAGTGATGGAAAACTTACTGTGTCAAAAGCTGCCAGGTATTATTTGCAATTTGTTTTAAATGCTAGATATGCCAACGTGGGGAAAACAGACAAAAAATCTCAAACTAGCTCATAAAGTGAAAACTTAATTAAAAACCTTGGCTAGCTAAATTGTAAAATAACATACTTAGTTACTAGTTTGTTGAACAACATGATGTGGCAGTATAACCCTGTATCAGAATCAGATTACAATGGTGCTCATCATGAGCACCAAACAGACCTGTAGTAAAAAGTGAAGATGAACAAGACCTGGGGAGTACTTGACTTTTGTTATAAGCCTTTACTAGCAACAGCATGAAAGGCAGGATTTACTAACACAGTTATATGCTGTTGGAAAACCCTTCTCATTTCCTGCAGCTATCAAAACTAGATGTAGGTTTAAGATACAATGATGTAAAGTAGCTACAGACTTAGAATTAGGTATAGCGTAAATGCAGTGTAATTCTTTTTGTTGCAGAGTGCTCATTAAGATTGTATGGCTCCTCCTATAGCAGATTTGGTTTCAAAACTTCAGACATAAACATAGATATCCAGTTTCCTGACAATGTAAGTAAGACCATTTTATTAAGTATGTGTAAGTGGTTTTGAATGTTTGTACTTTTATGTAGATTATCTTTTAAATATAACTTACAGTGTGGTATTAGCACTTTTTATGAAAATGCATTGGGTGAAACACAGCTATCACATTTAAATGGTCTTAAAATAACATTCCTTGCTTCACACACCAGTAATGGTCAGGTAGTATAATGTAGCTTTGTGTTTTATTGAATCTTCCTTCTGAAAAACTGAAAACAATTAAAACATATATACTCCTTGCAGTCCTATGAGACAGATCATTATTTATCTTCTGTTACAGCTGGATTAAATGGCACTTCCATGATCTTGTTTCTGTACTGATATATACAGATCAGACTGTTTGCTACATTATTTTTGAGCCATGAAACCATCTTATGTCATTTATACGTGAAGTAATTTAAAGTCTTAATTTGTCATGCTAGTTGTTTTTGCACATCTTTATGCTTGAACATTGAAAAGAATTCAAGGACTGTGAAAAGCTTTTGATTCCATTTTTAAACTTATTTCTACTGTAGTTGATTTGGCAGTCTCATAGTTAAAACTTAGCATTTCCTCTAAGAAATAAAGATGGAAATACTGTAGGGAAGAAGAATGATCCACGTTCATAAAGTGCATATAATTTAAAAAGCTATGATTCCAGTCTTTGATGTGATGTAGATCTACTATGTCAGAAGGCAATCATATTTAAGCACACTGAAATAGTATTCCTGTTGGTGGGGGGTTTTTCCTACAACCAAGTCTTTGATAGAGGTAAAAATAACTTTACTTGCAATTACTCTAGGATGATTTTTTTCCTTCAAAATATTTGAAGGCCAAGGACATAGAGAAGTTTTTTCTTAGTTGCTGTTATTTTATTTCCTTCTTCCTACCCTCTCTGGAAGAAAGACGGAAGTGGTGTAGGGGTGATGTTTTAAATTTTTTTTAAGTTGTGGGAAATCACCTTTTTGACATCTATAAAAACAGCTTTATTACTCTTATTGACAGATGACGCAACCAGATGTTCTCTTACTTGTGCAAGAAAGTCTCCAGAACAGTGGTAAGAAAAAAATTGCCTTCTCAATTCCATTAAATTGTTACTGCTTAGTATTGTTGAATTCCACCACTCTTGAACAGATAGACCACATGCTATTCTTTTTTTTTAGAAGTGAGAATGAAAAATACTGCAGGAAATAATTTATTGGCAGAACTAACTTTGGTTTGGTATTCAGTTTTATGACTATTGAATTGCATTATTTGTGTTGATATTAGCAATTCCCAGTGAGAGGTTTTCTGCATTATAAGTGAAGATGTCATTAAACTTAAGGTATACTGTGCTGCCTCTTTCCCCAGACTGCGCTATTAGCCATGTATAGTACAGAAAGTAGCCTGAGCTCTTCTATCGTGATGAGAAACTTGGTAATGTACTTTCAGATTATGGTCTTTTTTCCTGTAATTATGTGCACATGCCTGTTAGCGCAGTGAGTCCACATACAAATGACTGCATACAGACACATGTTTTTTTTCAGGTAATGAATACAACTCTATGCACTAATACAGGCAAGTAAAGTTTAAGATCTTAAAGAAATACACTTACTCAACCAGTTCCAGTATATGCAGGCAAAAAAATTAAAAGATGGGAAAGAAACTGTCTTTTTAAATGCAGATTGCAAAAAGTAGTTTTTCTACTTTCTTGCCTTGCTTTATGCCCATAGTTGGGAAATCAGACCATATGGTTCCAAACACGTGTATTAAACATGCATATATTTACTGACCTAGATTTTTCTCATTGCCACCCCCATTATATATGCATCTCCTTGTCTATTCAAATGACCATTATAGTCTTTGAGAATGGAGTTATTGTTCTGCCAGACTGGAGGAATGAAGACCCAGATCCCATAAGAAGTTAGGATCTCTAATGTGTTTTGAAAGCAAGCAATATTTGCATTAACATCTTGTGCAAACCCTTTTTCTGTGACTCAGAAGATACAGAGGCAGAGCATTTGAGGTACCAGTGGCAAAAGCAAGATGTTTTTCAAAGAAGTCAGGTGTCCAAATGGCTACGTAACATCAAGAAGACCTTGTCATTTCAGAATTTCTGAATTCGGTATCTAAAATTGTTTCATAGTTTCCCCTCTACCTAGCCCAGTGAAACAGTGAGGCATCAAAAAATAAGCCCAGTTTAGATCAATAAGCTCCACTTGGAGCAAGGACTGCTGCGGCATCTGTACTTTTTTAGTGTTAAGATAAAAATGTAGATGAATTGTATTTGGAAATCTGTATAAAGAATAAGAGGAAAAAATAAAAAATTAAGCATAGCAAGAAGACATTACATCATGTCAATAAGCCTCTTCTAAACTTACGTAGAGCATTTCTAGATTACCAGGGAAAATAAACTTGGATATTTTCTTTCTGTCTAGTATTGACATAGTGCTCTGTTTTTTCGTCTTTCACACTAACATTATTTTACAGATGTCATTGGTCTGTCTGTATGCCTGGATTATTGAAGCCAACACTTAACCAGAGTATACCTGTTTAATTATACCTACTGCGTATATGAATTTTGAAAAGTTCCTTGTTTAATAGTGCTTACCATAGAGTATAGACAATATTCTTCCCATCACATAGGAAAAACTTGCTTTAAGAGTGACACAATCTATTAGATGTACTGAGTAATTTGTCTCAAAATTAGTCTTTTTATTACAAAGTTGAAGTTCTAGCTGTACTCCTCTAGTTGCATGCAGTTCAGCATTCTTTTTGTCAACATTGTGTTTAATGTGGCTTCTTTTTCTTTCTCCCCCAACCTAGAATCTTTTACGGAAGTTGATGCAGATTTCCATGCTAGAATACCAGTGGTGGTGTGCAGAGAAAAGCAAAGGTCTCGGTTGTCACTTTGTGTGTTCTAATAGTATATAGCAATGTAAATTATATGTACCAACATCTGAAAAATGACGTTTCTGTACTAAATTATTACAGTTCCATGGATCTTGAAACACAAACTAACACTCATGGGCAAGTCATTCCTAGCCTAGAATAAGAGGGTAAGGGTTGTTCTGTCCTCAGCTGTGTATTTCCCAATCCCTTCAACCATTATGGCATCCAGCATGTACCCTTACCCTTCCATTTGGGATAACTGCTTAAGCAGAAACTTTCCTTCCTTATAGGTAATGTAGATACCATATTAAATTATGGATTTCTGTAAGGGCAAGATCAGCTTGCTTAAGTTCACTAATATTTTGAGAACAAGTGAAAGACATTTTATTTTGCCCATTTAATGGATATCACTTAAGATTCATGAAACATTCTATAAACAGCTACTGATACAGAAATACTACCAGTTGTTTGCTGCTACCTTGATCTTTCACGGTTTGAAAATGTTTCCAGAGCACAATAAACAACATAGAAACTGTTTACTGATGGGTTTGGTATGGGAAGATCTTTTGGACTGATGAAGGAAATGAGTAGTATAACTATTTTAGTTCAGTGAATTAATGTCATTAGAAACAAATACTTAAATTTGAATTGTATTTAAAAAGATGTTTACAGAAAATTATACTGCATATATCTTCAATCAAACCATAAAGCAAATTGATTTTCCATGCTTCTTTTAATGTAGATACAGTATCTTTCAGAGGCTGTTAAGTCTTTCCTTACAGCCTTCTGCTACACTGTTTTGTGAGCTGTCTTCTGAACTACATTGGTTCTTAGAAAACCTCCAAAATCTTTTGCTTTGTTTCTTTTTGGGTTTTAGTGGCCTTATTTGTAAAGTGAGTGCAGGAAATGAGAATGCTTGTCTGACAACAAACCATTTGGCTGCACTTGGAAAACTGGAACCTACTGTAGTACCTTTAGTGATTGCCTTCAGGTACTGGGCAAAGGTAAGAGTCATTTGTATTCCCCCATCTTTGAATAAATATTGAATGAACATTGATATTATGCTGGTAAAACTGTAAGTATGGTTTAGAAAACAGTTGTTGAAACTGTCTTTAGAAAAAGAGTTGGGAAAAGGATTTTTGTTTATAAATTGTACATTTTATAAATGATATAACTATCATTTGTATGTTATAATGTTCCACTAAATTTCAAAAGTGGAATTTTAAGCTTCAGCCAGTGGCATGCAGACTGTAAGTACCCTGCTCTGTTACCAAAGAAGTCATATATATATATGTGTGTGTGTATATATATATGTATATAAAATTGAATTACCCATTTCCCATAAATGTAACACATCATGAAAAAAATGAAAGGAGAAAGCTGCTTGTTTCCATATGTAGATGAAAACTTTCTTGTGAATTAAAATAACTTGTTCCAAAACTTTGCGTGCTGCAACTAAAACATGATTCAAGAAAAAGATTGAAAAACTTTTGACTTGTATTATATCTATGTAAAATGGGTCTTCATTTTTGCAAATGTGCTGTATGCTGTCTGTTTTGCCAGTCTGCATCCTATGGTTCTTATACTGAAAATATTATGGTAATAACATGATTCCAGTAACTATGCAGGCCTTGAAAACAAAGTCCATCTCATAAGAGCTCAAAGATGTCTGAGTTTCTGTCAGTATTTAATGTGACAGACTTCTGAACAGTAATTTAAAGAATATTTTTCATGATACAACTGGAAATCTTAATGACTGCAGAATTTATTTTTACAGTTGTGCTGTGTTGATCATCCTGAAGAGGGAGGCTTGGCACCTTATGTGTTCGCTTTAATGGTTATTTTCTTTCTACAACAGAGGAAAGAGCCTTGTCTACCTGTCTATTTGGGATCATGGGTATGTGCACTAATACACTGAATACAGAATCACACAGACTGGTAGGGGTTGGAAGGGGCCTCTGGAGATCATGTAGTCCAACCCCCTTTCTAGAGCAGGATCACCTACAGCAGGTTGCACAGGATCATGTCCAGGTGGGTTTTGAGTATCTCCAGAGAAGGAGCCTCCGCAACCTCTCTGGGCAGCCTCTTCCAGTGCTCTGGCACCCTCAAAGTGAAGAATTTTTTTTCTCATGTTAATGTGGAACTTCCTGTGTTCCAGTTTGTGCCCATTGCCCCTTGTCCTGTCACTGGGCACCATTGAAAAGAGTCTGGCCCCATCCTTTTTACATCCACTCTTTAGATCTTTATAAGCATTGATGAGATCCCCTCTCAGTCTTCTCTTCTCCAGACTAAACAGACCCAGCTCTCTCAGCCTTTCCTCCTACGAGAGATGCTCCAGTCCCTTAATCATCCTTGTAGCCCTCCCCTGGACTCTCTCCAGTAGTTCCCTGTCTTTCTTGAACTGGGGAGCCCAGACCTGGACACAGAACTCCAGATGTGGCCTCACCAGGGCAGAGTAGAGGGGGAGGAGAACCTCCCTCGACCTGCTGGCCACGCTCTTCTTAATGCACCCCAGGATACCATTGGCCTTCTTGGCCACGAGGGCACACTGCTGGTTCATGGAGAGCTTGTTGTCCAGCAGGACTCCCAGGTCCTTCTCTGCAGAGGCGCTTCCCAGCAGGTCAACCCCTAACCGGTAGTTAATTGAGTATGAATGAGAGGACCAATTACTTGTGGTGGTATGTAACCTGTCAGCTTCTATATAACCTATAGCTTCTTGCTATTCTTAGCAAGCTATATGCAGCCATTTCTGCAGGAATTCAGAAAGAATGTGAATTCAGCCAGGCTTAGACCTAACCTTTGTATGCTTGGCCATCTAATTAAAAAATACATATTTATGCCTGTGTAATGTGCAAAGACAAGGTTCTCTGACATATGGATACCTTTCCAAAAGCACTGAACTCGTGAGAACTTCTTGTAGAAAACTATAAGGAGAAGAGGGATGCAGATTGGGGCATATTCTAGGCCTGAAACAGCTGTTTTTAAACTTTGTTCTGTTTTATTTTGGCCTTCTACCAGGTGCAGTGGAAGATTTAAAGTTCACATGATGGTTAGCTGTATGTTTCTTTTTCTGTTTCCTTTAGATTGGAGGATTCTCATTCAACAAATTAACTCATTTTCATCTGAAAGAAGTTGAGAATGATACTGTGGTTTGGGAGCATAACCCCATTGATGATTCTGATTTGTCACAAGAAACTTCCCCTAGAAGGGGCAAGGTCTGAACCATTTAATTTACTTCTGTGGTAGTCTAGCAGTCATTGCTGTTCTTGAAAAAAGAACCATCTTCTAATTTTGTTTTGTATTTATGTTGCAAAACCACAAGCTGAACTAAGATGACAAGACTGCTTGATGTAAGGCTTCCTATGCTTACATCTTGTTGCTAAGAAGGTATCAGGAAACTAGGAGTTATTTCAAATTCTTTGATATGACCCTGGATTTTAATTGGTCAGAGGAGAACCTAGTTTATAGAGCCGAAGTAATTTTATCTCAGCATTAGGTTAAGCATATGAAAAATATTTCCTCTTAGCTTTGAACTGTTTTTACAAATTACTTATTTTATAACACCTTTGCAAGAAACAGTACCACTATACAACTGCATGTTATGACAGTTAACAATACGACTTAGGCTTTGCTAAAAAATAGGCTGTATAATCTATTCTGTCCAGTTAGATTAGATGTGGTATTTTCTTGAAAAATTATAAATTATGGCATAAACAAATAATCAATTGTTATTAATCATTGATGCTATTCTTTACCATTGATGCAGTCTTTAATTTTGAAGTTTTATAATCTGAGTTTATACTGTCTCTTCCATTTTTTTAATTGCAGGAGTATAGGAGCAACTATAAATTTTGTAATACTACATTGTAATATTACAGATGCAATAGAAGGAAGTGTAACAGCTAAACACCTGTGCATTAAATATTATTTAAGCTTTTCTTCTGTAATTGACAGGTTCCCTTAGTATTTGGCTCAGGACAGCAGTGTTCAGCACCTGCTGGTCAGCTCTGGGTAGAACTGCTTCGTTTCTATGCCTTGGAGTTCAATATGGCTGATTTGGTTATTAGCATACGAGTCAAAGAAACAGTGTCTCGTGAATCAAAGGACTGGCCTAAAAAGCGCATTGCTGTGGAAGGTATCAACAAACTTCAAAGAACTGTTACTTTAATTTTCTAGGGCACTGTCTTGGCTTTTGATACTTAGAATTTTTCAATATTGGACTGTTATTCCCAATAATACAGTAGAATATGTTTTGGAAAAAAATTAATTTAAGTAATATTTCTCTTGGGTATTTTTTCAACATTATCAAAAGTAACTCAGTGGACTTAAAAATTGTCTTCAGCACAATTCATAGATCTTATGTCCCTACACAATGTTTTAGAGTAGCAGTAGTATATTCAAATTTTGTAAGGATGTAAGTGTATTCTTTTAAAAAAAAAAAAATTAACCCCTGCACTACTGGCTCACTTCTTCTTTCTACTAGACCCATATTCGGTCAAAAGGAATGTGGCAAGAACTCTGAACAGCCAGCTAGTATATGAGTATATTCTTCACTGCCTGAGAGCAACTTACAAGTATTTTGCCTTGCCTCCCAAAAAAAGTGCAAAACTGAGCAAAAAATCCTCTCAAAATGCCACTGAGGAGAAATCTCAAATGCTGGACCATGGAAAAGATGCTATAAAGCATGAAAATCCTGAGTTGCAAAGCTTGGATTTTAGAACAAACACAGCAGTAGTGGAAGATTGCGTAACAGAGACTACAGGTATGCCCCAGGCACATCAAAGTGATCCTTCAAAACTGTGTGATGGCTCAGAAAGTTTCACAGAAGAAGAACTGGCTGATGATCTAAGTCATTTGGGAATTGGCCATGAAGATTCAGACTGTATAATTGAGGAAGTTATTTCTGGAGATAATGAGGATTTTAAACCAAGTTGTGAAGAGACAGAGAGTGGAAATGAAGACGAAGAGGAGGAGGAAGAAGAGGAAGAACATGAACAACAACAAAGAAGATGGAATAATATCTTGACTACTGAGCAGGGGACAGATGAAGACAGTGATAGTGGAGATCTCCCTGTGACAGTGAATGAGCACGATATAGAGACATGTAGTACTTCGGACTTGGAAGGTTTTCAAAATACTGCACTTACAGAGAGTGATGAGTTTGGCTTAGAGTGTAGTGGTGTAATGGATGACAAGATTGACATTGATGAGGAGAGTACTGAAGGTACTGATGAACTGGATGAATCTCCCAAAAAATTCATACGTTCAGCACAGACCCAGATATCCCAAATTATTAACTCGGATGATGAGGAGGAAGAGGAGGAAGAACCAAGTCTTCCAAACCAGAGAGAGTGTGGTGTTGTCATAAGAGCTGGACATGAACTGGATAACACATATACTGGATCTGGAGATGATGATGCACTGTCGGAGGAAGAAGAAGATTTTTCCATCCCCAATAAATATGAGAACAAACATTTTGAAGAAAATGTGGATGGACCTCTGGGGATCAATTTTAGTGAAGAGGATCTTACTGAGAAGGGAAGGCTATTTGAAGAGAACACAGCAATAGAACAGTGTTTAGAATCTGAACTTTTTTATGAATTCAGTAAACCAGCTTTTACAAAGGGCAAGGTAAGCAAGCTGTATCAGAACGTAAACATTTTGCTTATGTTCTATTATCAGTTATATGAAAGTGTTGCTCAAATTCATTAAAGTATTACAGTTTTTAAAATCAATCTTGCTTTCTGTTCATGCAGTCTCCTACAGTAGTATGTAGCTTGTGCAAACGGGAAGGTCACTTAAAGAAGGATTGTCCAGAAGACTTCAAGAAAATTGAGCTTGACCCACTGCCAGTGTTGACACCTAAATTTTCAGTTATTCTAGATCAAGTTTGTGTTCAATGTTACCGTAAGTTTTTTCCTTTGAATATTCGTTGTGCAGTAGAAAAAGAATTGCAAAAAACAATGAAATAACCACAGGCTAATGGTGTTATAAAGGGGGCCTAGTTGATTTGCTACACTGCATCCAACTCTTAGATACAGTTCTAAGATTTGTAAGGGCTTGAATAGGGCTACTGAGTAGTTTGTATTTAGACAAATATAAAATGTTTAGGTTTATCTTCCACACACTGGCTGGCTGATTACTTACTTAGACATCTTAATATAATTTCTAAGAATTTAATTTTGGGTGGGAGTTTTGACTGATGTTTTTGGATTTCTGTCTACATTGAATTTTGTTACTGTTCCGTAACTTGTGGTTTTTAGTAAAGACTTCAGTGTTCTAGCAAAAAATGGAGTCAAAATACTGTTTTGTAACACTTCTCCACTTTTGTTCTTTTCAGAGTGACCCAACTTTCCTCCTTTCTCTCTCGCCATTTCTGACCAGACAAAATGCATTATTTGTCTAATTAATGTTTTTCTTTGAACAGGTATTTCTCTTCTACTTCATCCTTGCTTTCTTTTCTTCACATGTGAATCTTCTCTTGCTTTTTCTCTCCCCCGTACCCCTGCTGTAAAACCCACACTTTTTTTGTTTGCATTTTTGCTATTGACCTTTTCTACAGATCAGTTTGCTTAAATTTTTTAATTTTTTTTTTTAAAGACGATTTTGCTCCAAGCATTGTAGAGGATCAGGCTCGGGAGCACATAAGACAAAACTTGGAAAACTTCATTAGACAGGATTTCCCAGGTAATTAGGCAGTTCTAGCTTTATATTTATACATTGGCATGTCCATACTTCAGTGTTTTCCAAGAAAACATATCAGTGTTATAAACACTTTAGTTTTGAACAGTTAACCTATATTGTTGCTTGGCATTGCTATACCTCATTACATTAACTTCTGTTTTAAGTCTTTAAGGGTTTGGTTTAGGTCTTTTTTGACTTAGTCATGTATACAACACATTTTTACAAAGGAACAATGGCAAGTTAAGGATAAAACAATGCAAGCAGTAGTGGAACAGTTTTATAATTGTTATTTTGGTCTTATTCATTAGCCAGACTTCTTGTTGTATCTGCTATTACAAACAACAAGATTTTTGTAGTCCTTCTTACTCAAGCTTATTGGTTTTGGAATATTTAAACAGGCACATCATCTGACCCATCTGCAGAACCTAGCTTTTTTAAATTTTTTGTTTGTTTATTTCTGGAGTTCTTACCTGTAACACCAGGACATCAGTTCATAGTCTTTTAAAATCAGCAAAAGATTTTCTGACTGGAGTCTGGTATGTGGACAGATGTGCCCCTTATCCTGAAGATCTCTGTAGAGAGCAGTCTTTTTTTTTTTAAGATCAGATTTCAGCTCAGACTTACATGCTGATGATTTAATTATTGGAAAACCTAACTTGTTTCTGGATCTGTCAGACTGCTCATTTGAACCAAGAAGAGCAGAGATTCTTTCCACATTAGCAAAGTTGATAAGAAAATAAGTTTTGATGTACCATAGAAGGATAGTAATGTTTTCATGCCTGTATTAAGACATGCAGTGGTTTGAAACTATATACAGTTTGAGATTCTGTGTCGATAAGTGGTTATAACCCATCACATCTCTTACAGGAACGAAACTGAATTTGTTTGGGTCATCAAAAAATGGCTTTGGCTTCAAACAAAGTGACCTTGATATCTGTATGACAATGGATGGGCTGGAAACTGCTGAGGTAGTTTGAAAAGTTGTTGGGATTTTTTAATAAATGCAAAATTTTATGGTCGTACTATGTATATAGTGTAACAAATTATTTTATAAAAGCTTTTCAGATTAGAAGAAAACACAAATAGGTGCCACAAAAGCAGATTATTTTAGCGAGGTTTGCTGTTGCTCTAGGCATGAGTTTAAGAACTACTCTCAGTAGTCAGTTTTCTTCTGAATTCTGTACTACCATTACTTCTAGTGTTAACTGTGCAGATAGATAACATGTTTTGTAGCATAAACAGCTAGGAATGGGAGACAGTGGAAAAGGACATCAATCTCCTTTCATGCCTAATGTAAACATTTTAAAACCTCATATTAAGATACTATCTAGTGTTGACTAGTGTTTACAAGTGCTATTTTGAAACAATCTGTGGTATTCACATAATTCTGTATAATATGAAACTGAATTATACAGCATTAAGCTTAATGGTAAGTAATAAAATGTTTGTCTAAAACACTTGTAGCAGATACAGCTTTCAACTTTTTTTTTCTTAATGTCTTAGGGACTTGATTGCATCAGAATCATTGAAGATTTAGCAAAAGTTCTCAAGAAACAGTCAGGTAACTTTCTCAAAAATTGAATAAGTGGTTCTGTTTGTGACTTCAGTTGCTGTAATGAGAATGTTCTGGCGCGCTGTAGGTGAAAATCATTAAGATAAAACTATACCAAAGAGCTTAATGTTAGTATGAGTGAGGTTATATGTTGTGAACATTTGGATTTGTTTTTGTTTGCATATGGAGGTCTATGAGGTTATAATGTTACAGGCCCACATCTGAATTGGACAGATAGTATATTTATAACATACATGCATCAGAACAAACTGTAAATTAAAGCTTGTGTCTTCAAGTTAGTAGTTATGTTGTATTTGTATGTTCAGTGCCTAGTAAATTAATAGTAAAAGATAGGCTGATACAAGTTTGCAGTGGGAATTCTGTTCCTTCTACAAGAAATTACAATTTTGTAGTGCTTATTTTGGTGTATGTCATGAATTTAATATAACTGCAGTTAACTATCAATGATCTCTTAAGCTGATTTTTCTGTAACATTTAGACTGATCTTTTTTTTATTGTGGGGGCTAAACGTATATTTGTATATAGTATATGTATCATATTCATAATGTTTGACAAATGCCTAAAATAAATACTAAAATGTAACTAAAATACAATTTTGGTATCAGCTAAGATTTTATTTTGTAGCCTTTTTACTACAGTTTGGAGTTATTTGTAGAGCATTTGATACTGTTACGACTGTATTGCAGTCATTCAGTAATTAAACATTTCATCCTAGGTTTAAGAAATGTCTTGCCTATAACAACTGCTAAAGTCCCAATTGTCAAATTTTTCCATGTCAGAAGTGGTCTTGAAGTAGACATCAGTTTATATAATACTCTGGTAAGGTTATCTCCTTTTCTATTTTTTAACAGAAAAATGCTTCTTGAGATTGAAGTGATTGTTTGCTGAGGTTCAGTAAACAACTGTTTCCAATTGCCTATTGCAGTTTTAGATTTCCAAACAACCACATGGGTCAGTTGATAGCTCTCACATTTCTGGGCTGAAATCTTAGTTCAAGAACTTACCTTCTACCGAATATTTTGAAAATGCAGTAGTAGATTAATGCTTCCCTTTCTGAAGTACTGTTCTGTGAATGCTGCTTTGTACCACTTCTGCACAGATTAAAAGGATGTTGATCAGCTTTTTAGCAGAGCAGGTGATAACCTCGTTGTTGAATGCTTCCTTTCTCACTACACATTCTACTATGCAGGGCTTCACATCTGCATTTCTTGAGCACACAACTTAGGAGGTTTTGGTTTTCATGTTTTCAGCTTATTTCTTCAGACCTCCTGTATTTTCTATATGACTTTCTTATTTTTATAGGCCTTGCATAACACAAGACTCCTGTCATCATATGCAGCCATTGATCCTAGAGTAAAATATCTGTGTTACACAATGAAAGTCTTTACAAAGGTAAGTATATTTCAGACATTCTAGGATTTGTGCCTGCAGTGATAGATGATAACCATAAAAGATACAAATTGTGTTTATTTTTCTAGATATGTGACATTGGAGATGCATCTCGAGGTAGCCTCTCTTCTTATGCATATACTCTTATGGTGCTTTATTTTCTTCAGCAGAGAAATCCACCCGTCATCCCTGTTCTTCAAGAGGTACAGTATATCAAGACAGAAACGAGTATCTGTATACAGTATTGACCAGAACAATGTCAGTGCTGAATCTGAAGGGCTCTTTTAATGAGTTTAATATTATGCTTTCAGATCTACAAAGAACCAAAAAAGCCTGAAGTTTTAGTTGACGGCTGGAACGTTTATTTCTTTGATAAGATAGAGGAGTTGGTGAGTAAATCAGTTTAATTTGAAATGGTGTTACCTGTAGCTTTGCAAATTAAAAAGAATACCTTTTAAGAAACATTGTCCTCAAATATGGTTGCTGAATATAGAAATGGAAGCAGAGTAGCTATTGCTTTGAAAAATCCCAATGCCATACTGTAAAGCTTTAAGAATATGGTTGGTTTTAATTCATCTGTGGAAAAAAACCTAAACCCTGCAAAATCTGAAAAAAACAGATTTAAAAAAATGTAAGGTGTTCATGATGATTAATTGCTCTGTGTGTAACATTACTAGCTGGAGATAACTCCTACAAATATCAGCTGGATATCTAGCCATAGCTGCTTGATCCTGTTGAATAACTTCGTGTTAAATAGGCATAAAAAGTGAATTAATAAATTCCTTTTAATAACATGCAAAATCTAATGTTAGAAGATGTATTAATTCTCCACTTTTGTTAATAATTTTTAAAAATACCAATTTAAAATCAATATTTGATTATTAATACCAATTATGAAAGGAAGGGAAGTGTCCTTGTGTAACTCAATTGTGTTTCTTTATAAGAATAAGACTTATATTGTTTGAGCTTCCAAGTTATGAAAATTATTCTGCTTAATGTAAGTAGTTGAAGTAAAAGTATTTCTTTCATTTTCAGTCAGTTGTTTGGCCGGACTGTGGCAAAAACACTGAATCTGTTGGACAGCTGTGGCTGGGACTTCTCCGCTTCTACACAGAAGAATTTGATTTTAAAGAGCATGTCATCTGCATTAGGAGAAAAAATCTGCTTACCACTTTCAAGAAGCAGTGGACCTCTAAATACATTGTAATTGAAGGTAAAAGCACATGAAGTACCTGAGTATGTGGAATTTCTTTAATGCTCACATGAAAATTTTGGTCTTCCCACAAGACTTGCTTATTTTTTTGTTACTAGATGATAAATTATTTGTTCATGTTTTGAAATCATCGCAAAATTCCCACTGAGTTTCAGTAGTGCTAATAATTATTCGTAGAGGTTTTCTTCTCTACTGAAAAGAAGCTGCAAAGCAGACTTCATCCTTTTCATGATGTCAGTAACTTAGAGAAAAATAGATTTAACCAAATCCTTTGGAAAATAATTTAGCTGTAATGCAACTGAGGTTTTCTCACAAATACTAAGTTTAGCTGAGTCCATATTTACATGACTGATTTAATCTTGTGTATGATTACACTCTTAAGTAATACCATGATCTCTATCAAGACACATACAGTGATGCATTTCATGTTCCCTAAGCCACTTTGTGGCCCATATGACTTTCATGGAAAGATTTTCTACTCTCTTGCCTGCACATTCAACTTATTCTTTTACAATACTTCAGTCAGTTCAGAGCTGGACAGCTGTGATCCTTTATCTATGGAGTTAATTTCTTTACGAATAAATTTGCAAACAGTTCAATTTCAGTGTATTAATTCTGTATCAAGTATAGCTGCTGGGTTGTTCATGTGTATGTATACATTGCTGATCTTGTCCTGGATTGAGTAATGCCTGTAATCCTTTTTGTGCAGACCCCTTTGATTTGAACCACAATCTTGGAGCTGGATTGTCAAGAAAAAGTAAGTCTCCTGTTCACAAAGTTGGGTATGAAGTGAAGATCTTGTCTTAGATCTTATTCTACTGGCTTGTTTGATGTGTGGGTGACTTTTTTTGTTGTTTTTTCTTCCTCAGTGACAAATTTTATAATGAAGGCTTTTATCAATGGCAGAAGGGTATTTGGTACCCCTATAAAAATATTTCCTAAAGAATATCCATCAAAAATGGTGAGTTGCTTCTAAGAGTGGTATGTGCATGTTCTTGGGTGTATAACTTACCACTTTCAGGAGTATAGTTACTGTCTCTTTAAGCTCTCTTAAATTTTAACAGTACTCTAAACATTTTTGGTGGGGAGTTATTACTGAGTACTGGTTTTGTGTTGTTTGCATGTAAAATGTGTTCACATGCAGAATACTAGTCAAGTTAGGGCTTCATGGTACAGGCTTGCATATTTTAGTCCCTATCAAAACCAGCTTACCATTTCTTAAAACTGCAATTTTTAAAAAGAGCTTGCAAACCTGGTGGTCAGCAGGCTGCCTGTAAAGAGGCAGCCAGTTAATCTCAACAGGTCTTTCAGGAGTTCAGCTACACACCCAAGTTTATTCTTCTCTGTAACTCTTACTGCTGTTTAACATTTGCTGATCTGTCTTGATTCCCAAGTATATGGATTTTCATTTTAAAGGCATGATTTCTTCTTCAGGAGTACTTTTTTGATCCAGAGGTGCTAACGGAAGGAGAATTGGCACCAAATGATAGATGCTGCAGAATTTGTGGTAAAATTGGACATTTCATGAAAGATTGTCCCATGAGAAGAAAGTGAGTATAGTTTTGGCATGTGTTTGGAACCTTTCCTTAGGTTTGTTTAGGAGAAAGATTAAGATAACAATGCTAAAGCAAAACTTGTACATGCTGCAGATTATTTCCTTTACTGTTGAAATGAAAATTTATCAATACTAGTTTGGCAGTGGTGGATGGTGTTGGTTTTTTAAATTTTTGGTCTGTGTTGAGTCACTACTTAACTTTTGCCAGCATCATCTGTAGTGTTTTTTAACAGAATCTTTTCATAGAAGGCTGCAGAACTACTTAGCTTAAGGTAAGAATGCTGACTCTGCACTTCATTATACAGGAAAGCAGTAGTCAAAAAGAATCTAAATGCAGAGCTGAATAGCTGTGTGCTGTTCAAAAGCACTCATGAAAGCATTTTATATATTTTCATTTAAGAAATTCTACTTCTAGAATCTTGCTGCTCCCAGTAAGACAGGTTTTTGTCATTTTCAGAATCATGCAATTCATATCGAAAAGCAAGACAAGAATGTCACAGCATTATTTTTTCATAAGCACACATATGAGAACAATGCCCTGGTTTACATCCAAGAGAAGGTTTTCTGATACTGAGTAACCAGATGTCCAAAATTCAGCAATTATCTTGTAAGGAATGCTAAACCGATCTTCCTCTTTTCATATTATGAACTGTCTAAACTTAAAATTGATCCATTGATGGTTTTTTCCCTAGTTAAGATAAAGCTCTTTAAAGACTTCCAGTCTATAAAATAGTGAAAATCGGCAACTAAAACTTCAGAAGGACGAAATCTTGAAAGCCATTGTGCTCACTTGTGAGGTGAATGGAAAAATCTAACCTTTGTTTAGAGTCTATGTTAAAAGCGCAGGTGATTTTTTTTTTAATTACAGCTTTTATGTAAGTAGCTAAAAAGCTACTTTGGTTGGATGAAGTAGCCTTTGTGCTACACAATACAGAATTGTGAGTTTGTATTATTGAGACTTAATTTTGGAATTTATTCAACTTCAGCAAGTGTAAGTACAGTAGTCGATAGTTCGAAAATAATGCTGAAGGTGGTGTGAAAATCTACTCAATGTCTACACTGCTGTCTCACATATTGGATTTTTAATCTTGCATTCTGGAGTGAAACCCCAGTTCACTGCACGTGCGCAGCTATGTTCTATACAACATCAGAGCAAAAGTCAATGGGATTTTGCACCTAAGAACATAAAAGCCTTACGGGGTAAGACGACTGATAGATTTGAGTCCTCTGTCCAGCCATTGCGGTAAGAGATGCTGTCGATGGAGGGCACACTAGTTGGCTGTTTTCCGTAATCTCTTACACATTCTCCCGGCATCAGCAGTTGCTTTGTAAGAAATGTTAGAGCACATACTTGGTCTGGTAGTACTCATTTGTAGACTGGAATTGTTCATGGTTTTGTCCTTTTTGTCTGTTCTTTCTGAACCTGATTCTCCTGTTTTCCTTAACAGTCTTCTATGGCAACCAGTTCCATAAGTATGCTAACTGATGTGTAAAGTAGTACTTTCTTTCATCTGTTTAAAGCCAATCTCATTTTAGTTTCATAAGCATTCCATAGGCATAGCCTTGTGGGATTTAGTTACTAATTATACTGCCTTGATGACTTTGTAAGCGATGGTTGTGCTCACTGTTGTGTAACAGGCTATGAATCTGATGTGTGGCTGAGGGAGGCCCTCCCATTGAGTCATGAGGTTCAGAAAGGACCTCCTTGCTGTCTAAACTCCTTCTCAGATAGGAGCCTAGGTACAGCTAGGTCCAGTCTTAGTCCCAGACTTGGTCAATGGTTTATGTCTAAAGGATTATGTGTGTAGGCACTTTGCAGAGTCAACACTTGCCTGTCAGAGCCCCACCAAGGACATTCATCGAAACAATTTCACAAAGTTGATAGGTAATATATTGAGGAGGTGACAGATATAAAAAGTTCGGAATTGCTGTTGATAAATACACTTACTGCAAAAATTCTGAGCTCAAGTTAATAGTTCAGCGCTTTTGTTAATGATAGTTTTACCAGGGTAACATCTGACAAAGTTGGAAGTGCAAGTCTTACCAAAGAGGCATCCCTGCTTGGGGAGGAGAGAGGTCGAGGCCCGTCAACCCATCCAGATAGTTAGAGTTCTCATCCTCAAAAAGCGGATTCTAAACGCCAGATTTATACTTTTGGCGAGGTGGGACTAAGTCAAGTATTTTGTGTTGACTGGCCCTTAACAGGGCTTTTTGCGTAGTTGATCGGGGGGAGTAGCGGAGAACAAAGGCGTTCAGTACAAAGGTGTGGGGGTCTGTTTAGCTTTACTGAAATAACGTCGGGTTGTGAAGCCTCCCCCTCACCCTAGATGTCAGTCAGTTGATTGAGCAGTAGACCATCAGGTGCCACATCTGTTAAGATGAGGAAGTTGCTCATCCCTTGCCTTTGTTCAGGTCTGGTGTTCATCCATATAAGAAAAACAAGTTGCTCAATCTGCACAAGTCAGACCCCCCGATAATTTCTGCTGACTCATAGTGACCCTGTATTCGGCACCAACAAGCACAGACAAGTCCGGCATCCCACACTCACTTTCTCTCCAGGTTAGAGAGTCTTGGCAGTTTTAATATCTCTTCCTTAACCACTTGCTTTCTTCATCATTTTTGCTGCTTTTCTCTTTACCTTCTCTAACTCTGCTACCTGCTTAAAATATTGAGACCAGACCAACATGCAGTACTCAGATTTAGCAACAAAATGATGTCTTCTGTCCTGTTCTTAGTGTTTATCCATCCTATCACTACAGTCCCAGATAGAGTCCCTCTCCATTGTTCTGGTAGGCACCCTTCAGGTACTGGAAGGCTGCTATAAGGTCTCTCCAGAGCCTTTTCTTCACACTGAACAATCCCAGCTCTCTCAGCCTGTCCTCATAGGAGAGGTGCTTCAACCCTCTCATCACCTTCATGGCCTCCTCTAGACTCGCTCCAACAGCTTCACGTCCTTCTTGTGTTGGGGGCTCCAGAGCTGGATGCAGTACTCCAGGTTGGGTCTCACAAGAGTGGTGTAGAGGGGAAGAATCACCTCCCTGCTGGTCACACTGCTTTTGATGCAGCCGAGGATATGGTTGGCTTTCTGGGATCTGGGCACCTGTTGCTGGCTCATACGGAGTTTTTCATCCATCAGTGCCTTCAAGTCCTTCTTTGCAGGGCTGCTCTCAATCTGTTCTTATCACCCAGCCTTCAGTCATGTTTGAGATTGCCCCAACTCAACTGAAGGACCTTGCACTTGGCCCTGTTGAACTCTGTGAGATTCATAAGGCTCACACAGGCCCACCTCTCTAGCCTGTCAAGGTCTGTCTTTAGATGGACACTCCCTTCCCTCTAGAGTATCAACCACACCACTTGGCTTGGTGTCACCTGCAAACCTGGTGAGGGTACACTCAATCCCACTATACATGTCCCCAACAAAGTCATTAAATAATAGTGGTCCCAGTACTGACCCCTGAGGGATACCACTTGTTGCTGGTTTCCACTTGAACATCAAGCCGTTGACCGCAACCCTTTGAGTGTGACCATCCAGCCAATTCCTTATCCATGGAGTGGTCCATCCATCAAATCCATGTGTCTCCAATTCAGAAACCAGGATGTTGTGCGGGACAGTGGCAAATGTTTTGCACAAGTCCAGGTAAATGACATCGCTTGCTCTTCCCTTACCCACCAACACTGTAACCCCATCATAGAAGTCCACCAAGTTTGTCAGGCACAATTTGTCCTTAGTGAAGCCATGTTGGCTGTCACCAATCCCCTCCTTATTTTCCATGTGCCCGAACATAGTTTCCAGGAGGATCTACTCCATGATCTTACCAGTCACAGAGGTGAGACTGACTGGACTGTAGTTCCCTGGGTCTTTCTTTTTTCCCTTTTTAAAAAATGGAAGCTCACCTTGAAGCTCATTTGCCATTCTTTTGCCCATTCATGCAGTTTTTTGAGATATTTTCAAGTTGCTTGCCATTAGCACTGCATCTGACTGACCAAAGGAGCTTTGTATCATCTTCAGGCTTGGAGGCTTCACTGATGTCCCCTTCTCTAGGTCATGTATAAAGAAGTTAGATAAAACCAGTCTGGCAGTGGTAGCTGTTTCCCCACTGATGACTTTAAGTCATGAGAATGTTAGATGCATCTCCCAGTAGAAGAGACTTTAGAGATACTGTGAATATACACAGTTTCAGAAAGAAGTGAGGTCTGTTTAAATTGTACAAATAGAAAAGAAATAGAGCTATAGCCTTATTTTTTTATACTTAGGTAGCATTTTGGTCGTTGTTTCTTTTCTTTCAGTGTCTTTGCAATTCCAGCACCCAGATTTTCTGTTCTGTTTATTTTTGAGATACAATTATTAGAATTTAAGGCTGTATTGTAATCTAATTGTAAAATTTAATTACTAAATATATATCAGCGTAGCATTGTTTGGTAGGAGAGTCAAAAGGACAGGTACTTTAATTCACTTTAATCCACTGAAGAAATACATTAAATACATCTATTGTCTGTCTGTAGACAGCACTTGGTTTGGGGGTTGTTTCTTACTCTGTGTATGTATGTAAGGCCTGTGAACTCTGTAGCATTTTTACACTCCTGCAGACTAAGACGGCGGCGTGATTACGAAGATACCAAAAACCAGAGGTACACAGAAAGTAAGGACAAAAGAAGTAAAGAGGACAAAGACACTCAGAATAAAACAACAGAAAAGGAGAGCTCAATCAAGGAGGGAAAGTTGCATCTATGTACACCTCAGAAGAGGAAGCTAGCAAGGGTAATAGTGGAAACTGGAAGAGAAAAGACTCCCAGGCAATCAGCAGAGAAGTGGAAGCGCCTAGAAGACAGAGACTTGAGAGAAAAACGTTGTTTTATCTGTGGAAGGGAAGGGCATATTAAAAAGGAATGCCCACAGTATAAAGGAGCTGCAGGTATGAAAGTGATCAAGCTGAGTGGTTTAAACAGAGCTTACGGTTTTTGGTGTTTTTAACAGGGTTGACTAACAAGTGAGGCTTTTGCTTTGAATAGCATTATGTAAATGCTATCTTTTTTTGTTTTAAATGTAGCCACATTTAGTCAGTTTTCCCTTCATCCTCACCTACCTTTCAGAACTTTGCTGTATCCCAAGAGATTTGACAAGGTTTCTCTTAGCAGGTAATACAGAAAGATTGTGATAGAAAGGATATGAGTGTCTAATATGTTGAAACTGTTCCCATTGTCCTCACTATATAAGAGTTTGCTAACACTTCAAATTACAGCTTCTCTTTCAGAACATCTTAATTGCAACAAAAGCCAGCCTTACAGCTCTTCACTTGACCTAAACCAGAATTATTCCACAGGACCCTAAAGTCACTGTGAAAGCATACAAACTGCTCAGAATATAATGAATGAAATAAAATAAAGAATGTTCCTGCCAACTCAGCAGTCATAAGGATACAGCAATCTGTCTTATTTTTCATGGAGTTCAGTTTGCAAATTTGGCTTAAAAAAAAAAAACTACAAAAATGTCCCCAAATCCAGATCCTGACTGACAGACCTGAAAGAAATAATGAAATACTTGCTTAGCAGTATCTAAGTCATCCTTCAGATAAGACGGATGTGTCATCATCTGTGTTGTAAAGGAAAATAATTCTAAGATAAAACTGAGCCTCCTTAAGACAGTGAATCATACTTTTAGTTAGCTTCCAAAGGAACACAGTATTATTGCTTCCCTATAGGTAAACCTAACAACACTTAAATTCATGCTGGAAAAATTTGCTGTACAGATTACTCATGACTTGACCCCTTAAAGTAACAAATGGGAATCCTTTCTGTAAGCATCATTTCTAACCAGCTCTTCTCTACTAGCAAAAACGTTTTGTCTGGCTCAGATCAGGAGACTCTTCTTAATTAGATGTAATTCATGGAAGAGGCCGTAAGACTGTGCTAACAAAGTAATGGCAGTGGGAGGAAAATGGTGCAAATATATGCAGAACTTTCAAGGTATTTAGAAGTGTTCTTAGTCCAGTAGATCACTAGAAGTGTTGAGTGGACAGAAAAGATGTTTAAAAATTGAAGCCACATTTTGTTCAGCTTCTGACCTTTTGAAGGTGTATGTCAAGTGTAAATTTAACTTTTGAGTTTCTTTATCTTTGACCTTGTCTCGTTGAGCATTTCTTTCTACCATTTCATTTGCTATGATACCAAGTTTGCTAAAGTGCAGTACGCCTGACTTTTGTAGTCAGTGGCATATTTTATAACATTCATCATATGAGAACTATGCTGAGGCTGTACAGTACATACGTCTAAAATCACGAATTCTGGAATAGGCAGTTTTGTCTGTTATTTGTGTTTTGGGAATTACTATATTTGAATTTGAAGAGAATTGCTGTAGGTTGGGCGCTGTCTTGTTCTGCTTGAAATGTTCTCTGTAGTTGAATAGTGGACTATGAACAACTGGACCTTAGAGGTCAGATTTTGTCCTTTGCTGTGCTGTATTTTCTAAGACTATGGACAATTCACTTACCACCATATCTTCATTCATTCTCTGAAGTTCCCTGTCTCCCTCTGATTCTGGAGGAGGATACAGAGCTTAATTTATTATACATTCGTAACTTAGATGCTTAACTATAGATGCATTTCACCTCATTGTGCCAGTTTTCCACGTTATAAAATTCAGGAAAATAAGTGTCCTACCTTCTACATACTGTGAAGGTAGGCTGCAAATATTATGCTGTTTTTATATCTTATGATACCTGAATTTTTGTTATGATCTTTTCAGGTGGTTCAAAATCAGAAGTGTTGTGTGGATCCCCTTCTTTACCCAGCACTGCCAAACATGCTGGAAGATTAAATCAGGTAAACAACAAGTATCCCTTTTCTTTGATCTCTTTTTTTTTTTTTAAATGTTCTGAAGTCCACATAAAGTAATTTAAAAATAGGTTTACTTAAGCTTTCAAGGACAACCTTTTATTATTGTGGAATGACATAATCCAATTTTGGTTCATCAATGTGTATATGTTGTTTACAGGGAGTGCTTATACATGAAGAAAAAAAGAAACAAAAAGGAAAAATATTTTTGAGTCCCCAGTCAGGTTTGTATGTCTTCATTTCAGTTCAGAAATTCTGCAAAAAAGCATGTATTTTAAACTTTTCTCCATCAGTCCTCATGGGAACTCTGCCTAATTTGCTGAACACAGCAGCAGTCTGGACAGGTTGCTAGATAATTCTAAAGTGAAGCCACATCGTTTTACTGGAAAAGTGTGCAGTTTTTCAATTTTGCTTTGGAAGTAAAACTCAGGCATGTCAGTTCTGCGCATTTTATCTTTAACTCTGGTAGATTTATTTTGCAGAAGGATGTGGTGGGATTTTTATCAATCTCTCTCCTCTCTCCTGTTTCGGCACACATGGGATTCTGTTTTTCTTCAGTGATGACGTGGAGCAGTTTCTTGTGAGGCTTCCTCAGAGTAACTGTCTCGAATTCCACATGATCAGCGAACTTAGGAGAGTCTATCAAAGTACATCCTTGGTCTGAGCTGCCAAAATACAAGGAAGTTAAAATTACACTTCCAAGTAGCAGTCAGATGGTAATATAAAGACCTTTATGTACTCTCTCTGGATCAGAGATGCTTTGTGTTAGATGCATGGTTACAAATGCAGCTTCCTTGCAGTAATTTCACACATTTATTAACAAGTACAATGAAGAAAACTCTGCAAACCTTTTAGCAGGTTGGGTTTTTCCTGTAAAATATATAAATCTCTTCTGGGGCACCTGAAGGGTGACCTAAGTAATCTTTACAAACTTTGGAAAACTAAACTGCAGTTAAGTATCTCAAATTAAATTATTATGGTTTTTTGGGAAGACACAGCAATTTTTGTTTTCACTGCAAGGATTTTTGAAATCAAAGTTTGGGGATTTTAAACAAAGTGATTTGTTATCAGGTGTTTAGTTGGGAAAAAAAAATACTAGTTTTCAGTTTTGTATTTTAATATTTCATACTGTCCTCCAGCAGGTAATGATCTAAAGTTAATTTGTGTGTGCTTTCATTTCATTATGGTTTGACTTAACTGTAGTTTTGTTGTGTCTGATTGTTTCAGTTGGTTTATGTCTTGTCTTTTTTTTTTCTTTTTTAAACCTTAAAGTGTGATGTTTTCTTCCTCCAAATCCTAGGCAGCCTTTCCAATAAATACATGACTCAGGGAAAAGCCTCACAGAAGAGGACCCAACAAGAATCGTAAGGGATATTAAGCACTGTTAAATTGCAATACAGGCCCTTCATTCATTTAAAAAAAATTTCTTTGGCTAAAGCATCTGGATTCACAGGACAGCAGCATAGGCAACCTTCGACTTAAGTTTAATGAAATATGGGTGGTTTATTTTGGATTGCTAGTACAAGCAACTGTGGATTTTAATACCGAACCCTGCTTTTAAATAGATTGTTTTGAGCATTTTAATAGAAAGCCATGATGTTTTGTATTTGTTTACTAGGCAAATCATATAGAAAAGGGCAGGTACTAAAAATGGACCGTTTTCAAAGTTTTGTTGTTCCACCTGAGCATTTTAAAATGCACTAAAATTGTGTGCAAGCCAAATACATTTTATTTTCTTCAAAAATGGTTTTTGAAGGAGCAAATAATATTTATTAATGTTAATTGTTTACTGAATCCTTGTGTAAAAGTGTTTGAAATGTTTGTAGACTGCTATTTTTTTTTTCCTGTAGCAAACTGAAAACATAGACACTAGTAAACGTACATAAAACAATCTCTGGACAAGCAGTGCCATTGAGATTTCTTGGGGTTTTTTTTGTTCTGTGACTTTATGGGAGTTCATTTGCTGCTGTGCTTGTGTACAAGAAGAAAGAAAGACTAAGAAACAGGTCGGTCCTGTTTGATGCTGCTAAGAATCTTTTTCAAGGCCTTGGGGATACAGACAAAAATGCTTTAAGGAATAGAGATATTATATTTGGCAACTGGGGAAAATACATGTCCATTTTCATAAAATGTGAAGAGAATCTTTGTACCAGCCAAGAATTTAATTAGTGGTATGAACTTGAGCTTTACTTGAAGTCCTTCCAGAGCTGGTAATGTACCGTCTTACGTTGTTCAAGAAAGAATTAGTTACGTGGTAAAATTGAAACCACTGTTATTTATGACTTTGAAATAAATTTTAAAAAAAAATCAGACTTAAGTTTCTGTATTTCTTCTTAGGTTGCAGTTTTCAGTATTCCTGACTTAAATGTAGAATTCATGATAACTTAATAGAATTATCTGGGTTTAGAAATGTCGTGTTTAATTTTTTTCCTCACCCATCTGTTTTTATTAAAGTTGAAAGCTAGAATTGCCAAAGTGATCTTAGAGAACTGGGATCCTAACTCCTGCTTTGATTTTCATCCATCTGTAGCCAGCTATCTGCAAACTTTCAGATGTGCAACTTGTACCAAAAAATTCTATTGTTTCCTCAACATACTTTAAAGCAAAATATTAGGTGCTACAAAGAGAAAATAATTCCAACTTTGTCTTCTATAGCATACTTCATCATATGAAATTAAGTCAGCTTTTCACTCAAAAGTAAGTTCATTCCTGTAGTTTTTCATTCATATCCCAAACAAAAGAAAGGCTGATGTGCATTCTGTATGCCTTATTTAGCCCTCTGAGAGTTACTTTCAGTTTTGCTGATGGGAATGAAGTGTGTAAGCCTCAAAGGGACTATGGCATAATCTCAAAGATAGAAGTTACTTAAAAAAAAAAAGAAACAGATTTATGCATACTTGATGTCTTCCATTTGTGATACTTTGTAGTTTAACAGTGAAGTCTTCAACTGTGAAATTTCTAAACTCACATCTGAATGAAAAATTCATTCTGCAGATCCACCAGTCTTCTCACTTTGAAGCTGTTGCTTCCTTATGCAACTACAAATTCTATATAATTACTAAAGTCATAACCCTAAAATAAAATCTCCAAATGTGGGTTATATACTACAAGCATTAAACCAGTAACTACTAAATCCTTTCTTTGCTTAAAGAGCACAGTTAGAACTTACAGAGTATGTAGCACAGAGTAAACACAGGCATACATATCTGCAGTATTAAGTTGTGAAATTTAGGAAATTGATTAAAGATTAAAATTGAGGAAAAGTAAGTTCTTCATAACAATTCTTGATGGCAAGATCCTGCTCACTTTATAGGAGTATTTTCTCAAGGTAGCAACTTTCCACTTACAAAGAAAAACTCTGAAAGGACACATTGTATTAATAAAAAGTTTCTAGAAAAAAGAATGGTATGAAAATTAATAAACTAAATACAACTAAATTCATACTAGTAAAGTGTAACAAATACTAATAAACAGTTTACAGTTGGTTCAGAAGAGGTCTTTTATACTGTTTATTTGGGCTACTTTTTTTAAAAAGTGCTATTGTCATATTTAACAGGAATTTCACATGCTTTTGATGTCCCTGTTTCCAAAGTTGCAAAATGTCTTGTGCTATGAGTAGTTAGTTACCAGTGCTGAAAAAAGAAGCCCAAAATTCTGTTTCAGGTGTGCAGTATATTCAACTGTCTTAAACAGGCAGTTTAATTTCAGTTAGCTGTGTAACTGCTGGATTAACCCGTATCCATCTCCCCTAATTTAATTGTTCTGGTGAGATTTGTTTCATAGCTATATTTAAAACCAGTTTCTCATCAATTAAAAATTTTATTTAAATTATGTAATACACAATGATTTCTTTTCTAAACCTCATCCCATTTTTACAAGAACTGCAGAAGCCCCATCAACTTTTTGGGGTCTGAAATAGCTGGTTAGAATGGGAGCTTGCTAGCAAAGAAAATATTTTTTTCCTATACTGCTAACTTTATCAATAATATTTCTTGTTATTCACTTGAATTATTTTAATACTGACTTTTGCTTTTATCTTACTTTGGTCATGTACCGAAGATGAAAAGCACCTTAGAAAAAGGCTGTTGTCCTAGCCCATGCTCAGTCTTTCATTTGGCAGGCAGGCGACTAAAGAGCGATGATTGGAAGCATCCTAAGGAAGTACCAGAAGGTAAAGCTCTTTATGCCTGCAAAGTAAATTGTGAATGATGAAGAAGGTATTGGCTGCATTCACACACAGGCTTCCCCCCACTCCGACCATGCATAAATCTGATTTCAGCTTGAGGCCGATAGTGCCTTTAAGCCCCTTCGCCCCTAAGTGGGCGTGTTTAGTTGAGGATGGGTGCCCAATTTGCACAAATTGTGTCTGAAAGACCCATTTTGCCTACCTAAAGACAACTTTTTTTTTTTATGCTTGCTGTCTTTGAGGTAGAAGTACTGTGTCTCATTAGCGTAGTGGCATAATTTTCTTTTGTAAAAGAAAAATGCCTGTACATTTACTATCAAGCTTTTCAAAACAGCTGAGGCCTGAATCATGTACCCAAAGTAGATGTGATGATGAGATGTGGACGTGTTGCTTGTGCTTGGATTTTGTAAATACAGGTTTAAAGTATTACCTAGCATATTTAAGAATGCTGTCAGAGGAAATGCAAAATGGGTGCTTGGTTTTCCTTCGGGCATAGCCATCATTTAATTTAATGGGACTAGTCTTCCTGTGCCGAGGCCGTTCAGGTTTCTGAGAGGCACCCAGAGTCACCCCGGCGTGCCTCCGTGGGCCGCCAGGAGCGGTTTGGGCGGGCAGGGCAGCGCAGCTCCCCC